ACAAAAATGATAGTTTCCCTAACTCAAAACCTCCCAAAGTTGAATTTTTGCGCTGGTCCCTTGAAATTCAACTCAAGAAACATTTGACAGTATTTTATTTTTCTTTAACGAAAAAAAGGTCAAGGAACCCTCTTCTGACCCAGTTTGTGTAAATGGCACTTTCTTTTGCTGATATAATACCCACGTTGTGCCTTCTTTCTTCTTCGGGTTTTCACCAGGGGTAAAAAAGAAAACAGCAAGGCCATTAAATGAAGCGTCAACAATTCTAGTGACTGATGGTATACTAAGCAACACCTCTTTTGTTGCCTCATGAAGCGAGTGGAAAAAATGGGGGGTAGGCTTTAAAAGCCGTCTGCGATACATCCACGAAGATCATTAATTTAGTTTGATGTTCCCATAAAGAAAATTCTATGGCCGCGTTTTTGTTCAGCGTGAAATCAAATTTGACAGGGAATTGCGTTTCGGACGGGAAAAAGGGGTTGGGGATAGATTAGCTTGTAAGCTCTCTTTCTCTGTTGAAAAAAATTTTGCGTGTTCGTTTTTTTTTTCATGTGCCTTGGGTTCCGAAGCAGTTTTTACGAGTATAATAACCATCATTTTCATGCATTCCGAGTTCCCTTGTTTGTGAGTTGAGTTTCTGGGTGGGAAATTGCCTGATTACATTTGATTTGCGGCATGGGAATTCAAAATTTGAATAAATGTTTTCTCATTATTAGTCCTTCTACCTTGTTTTTTTATAAATCACAGGATAAAAAATCTCCGAGTTTTTCCTGCATGTGTGATTCAGTAGATGTTGCTTATTTAGCGTTGAAGAGCGACATCTATTCCACTTTTCGCCCAAAGCCAAAAAAATTGCTGACTTTCCAGCACTTTATTGGATTCCAAGTGATGTTTATTTTTTGAGGTGAGGAAAATATTATATTTCATCAATAAAAAGTGCTGAGCAGATGAACTTTTATCTCAAAATAAAAAAACACCATTATTTTTGAATCTGATTGAAAATATTTTCAGCTGGTCTCGAAAGATTTTTCTGTGGTATGATTTTTATTTGTGAAATCTACGATATTATTTTTCCTGGCTACAAAACATGCTCTGTTTGATTTGAGTGGTAATGGAAAACCTGAATGAGTTCTTTAATTTGCGAAAAAAATATGCGTTGTCCAAAGAGTATTTTTTGGTTTCCTTGTGCAAGCAAAATGGGATCGCCAAATTTTTCGGATGCTTCTGCTTTTGCATTTTTGTTCTCTTCCCAGTTATTCTCTTGCGATCCTTCAAGAAAATATATACAGTATATTCCTAGTTGAGACATTTCGGTATTTTATGGAAGGCAAACTAGTTGTTACATACTTCGCCATAAGCTATTTTTCGTGGCCAAATAAATAACAAATCCGCATCAAGCCCAGCGTTGAATAGCAAAAAAAAATTTCTAGAATGGATGTGGTTTTTCCAGGTATATAAGGGAGGGGGGGGAGGAAAAAAATAATCTTGGAAACCTGTTATGTAGAGCAGGTATAGAATGGAAACCCCTCCTAGGAAAAACTGCATCCCCGCAAAAAAAGAAGCATACTTTGGCCGGGTTGCATTCCAGAAAGAACCACACCCCGACTTCTCGCCCCAAGCACTGAACACGCGAACCTTTCTCTCTCTGGAAAGCCGTGGCCTCTCTCTGGAAAGCCGTGGCCGCAAAAAGATTGACTGCCCACTGTCACGCAAAGGGCCTCTGGAAATACTTTCTTGCAGATGTTGGAATTTTTTTTTTTGAAATAGGGGGGATTTGAAAGAAGCTTGAAAAATAATCTGCGAGAAGGTTGTATTTTTTTTATACAGAGACTAGTTGAAATAAGTCTCGGTTGTTTGGGTTTGGGTAAATGCGGGATTAACATCTGCACTTTGAGAGCTTTTACCAAGATTTATTAGGTATATACAGTACGAGGATTTTTTTTTTTTTTTACACTCGGTCCAGGTCTGAAATGATTTAATCTGAAACGAAGTTTTGCATAACATTTTTTTCCGCAAAAAGTGCCTCATATATGACAGAGGGAATATTTTTACAGGAAAATATTTCCAAACGTAAAAGGCACGAATTTTATTCTTCGATAGAATTCAAATTTTTCATGAACATTAAGTCATAGGCACGGAATTTGTGCATCAACTTTGAGAAAAATTAACGAGTTTTATATTTACCACATATTCCTCTTTGCATCATTTAATTTCAAATCATTCAGGATATTTATCATAACAGTTAGAAGACGATTCAACTTTTTGTATCCACGATGAAAATCTTCGAAACCGTTTTCAACCTCCATTTCGGCAAAGATTCAAAAATCTGATGTGCTGGTAGTAAATACTGTATATAACGCAGTTTTATTTTCCGCGAAAAAGTTGTCGAAAAACTCGTTATATAAACTCGTTCAAAAACTTTGATTTTTCCCTGCGCTTTTTTTTTTTTTATATTCCTTTTCCGAATCAGTTTCCAATATTGCCTCAAACTTTTTTCATTGCTTACTGATGAGCTTTTGTTCGAGGAAAACCGCATCCAAGGATGCACACAACTTCGTACCTGCTGTACATTAATGCTCTGATGCCGGAAAACTTCATGTTTGACTTCCTAATGAAATTGTTTTTTTCTTTTTCTCTACCTTCCCTGAGGCTTTTTGCTGAACATTTATTGAGGATGAATGTCTTCAATATAATTTGATGTCAAGTGTTATGGAGATTGGAATAAAAACACGTTATTCAGTCCGGGATTCCATTTAGGAATTCCTAGTTTTAAAAGGGGATAAAGTGTATTTCACAAAGATATAAATAAACAACTCAATGAGCTTGACTTGCAGGAGTAACTTGGATAATGGGAGGATAACTTGAATAACACAGCTGAACTGATTCTAATCTGATAATATTAAGAGAAGCACTGCTTATATATGACAAATAATAATTAACCTTCACAATGTTTTACTTTACAATTAAAGCAAGAAAGCTAATGTGGTGCCAGGTGCAATTTTGAGGAGGAGGGAATATTGACTGAATGAATGAACAGAAAACTTTATTTGCCGCTTTTCAGCGTTCACAAGGCACAACCAAGACTCCCGCATCCAAACCCCCTCCCCACCCAACTCAACTCCCCCCAAGACATTCAATCACTTCAAATCATGAAACAAAGCACAAACCAATGACAAAAACAGAAGAGAACACACTCCACAAAATAAATGTATGTTGATAAAATACTGTAATGTAGTTAAAGCATATATGAAAGATACTGTATTGCAAAGTTCACTTCTATTTCCAACTAGGTACTTAGTGTACCTGGTCTGAGCCTCTGAGGCATGCCTGCCAAAAGGGAAGTGGACCTGAATTAAAATGTGTCTGCAAAATTAAGATCATCTCCTCAAGAGTTTACAATAGTAAGATTCTACACCTTGAAATAAATTTGCAGGAAAACAAATGAAACCATGCAGAATAAAAATGCATTGTATCCTTTAATTACTGTATGCACATGGTTTGAACTCTTGAATTTCATAAAATGGTCCACATCTGAGGACTGAAGGGTCCAAACTGCTTAATCAGCACCTTTAAGCAGATGAATTTGTTCATGTTTGAGATTAACCAGGCAGCCAAGTAAGGTAACCACTCTGAAACAAGCATGTCAAGGTGGGAGAAATGCTCAGCATGTATACGAATTTTAAAAATGCATTTTCTAAGGAAATGAGGAAATAGAATAGGCACAAGACCCTTGTCAACAGGATGGGTCAGTTAAAAAAAAAATTGGGAAATTTTCTTCATGAAAAAGGTCCAGTTAAAATTCAAATAGGAAGTTTCCAAGATTTTGCAGAAGGTGGCTTCTTAGTCTAACAAACATGCAGGAATCCAAGTGGAGGAGAAATTCAAAAAAATTTGTATTTGCCTCAAAATTTTACTTTGATGAAACTATGGATTGCATAAATCTCTGCAGAATGTGAAAATAAAAAAGGAAATGACAGTGTATCTTCACTCAACTTAAAGTGAACACAGTTTGAAAGAGTGACTCATCCAAAGGCTGAAAAAGCGACTCACATATAAACATTGATGGCCAAAGCACACTAAAAAAATTTCAAATTTTTAACTACTGCTTTCAAGTTTCAAAGAATTCAGGAAATTAAAATAAGAGTGTCACAATTTTGCCTCATTTTGTCTATGAAATTTGTGAAATTCAGAAATTCAAGAGCACGAACTTGCTGGAATGATTTCAGTTACAAACAGTTGAGTTGTATACAGAAAATTGGGAAAACACACAATTATACAGATTTTGAAAGGTTTATTGGAGTCTGGAAAAAATTAAGTACAGTAATTTACAATAAAATCTCAGAAGAGATTGTATCTTAAAAACTCAGCAAATCAAAATGCATAACTTCAAATTCAGTAGCTCAACAAACTACTGTACTTCTACTGTACAACAACATCAGAGCCAAATGCATGCAGGTGAACAAAAATACTCGCATGATAAATTTGTATCACACATCAAGATTTTTGTGGCAGATACGCATGCAATGCAAGGAGCATTTAATCTGCAAATTGTGAAATTATTGTGATTACAAATGAGGAAAACTATGTTTCACACAGTATAAATGAATTTGTAGCCTTTTCTAGCCCCACAAATGCATGGATTACAGGAAGGTAAGCTCAAAAACTTCATATTATCACTTTAATTTCCAACTCACAATCATCAGTAACATTTTGAATTAATTACTGTATTTCCAAGAATAATGTGCAGAGGTTTGCAAAGTTTAGCACATGTGTTTTGTGAGCATATGGAACAAACAAACTTCTTTTTTTTTTTTTTACTCCTGACTTGGACAAAAGCATGTTTTCAATTCAAAAAGAGCAAAACTCATTTTTAAATTAATTAGATTTTTTATGCAGAATAAAGACCCACCATTTGACAAAAACCACATCTCATCAATTTTTTTTTTGCCTGTTTCATTACTGCATTTCAAGTATATGTTGGTGCTTGTTTTTCTTTTCTTCTTCTTACCATGGATATGCTTCACCAGGCACATTGCAAAAGTTGTCACCAGAGCTCTGGAAGTCACAGGGCAAGTCCTGCTGGTGGACAAAGTGCAGGTGCTTTGGCTCTCTTCCATCTGTGCCTCCACTCTGTCCACAGGACATGTACTGGTCATATCCCTGGATCTCTTGCAACAGACTCGCCACCAACAGCAACACTGCCACAGCCTGCCAATGGGAAATTGAATAAAAACAAGTAATTAAACAAATAAATAATTAACTAAATGATGAAACAAGTACAGTAATTGAATGCACAAATCAAGAAAAGTCCACAACAAGAAAAGAGAAGCAGTCTTATTCAATTTCTGCACATGTCCAAAAGAAAGTGCAGCACTGGTTCATCAATAATGCATGAAGATTTCAATCATTGATCAGCAAGCTTTATTATCATTATTTTTTTCCATGAAGTAACATATTGGCAGATGAGTTCACAAGTTTGTTGAACTTCCCAAGATTTTGTAGTGCCAAAACCATATCCAACTTTGCTTTTGAAGTTCTGATCAACAACAGTTTTGCCAGTGAAACAGAGGAAAAGCTTGGCCAGTATAGGGCTTCAATTTGAGGCACTGACTTTCTGATCATCTTCAACTTCAAATCACAATTGCCCTCATGTTTTTTCTTGTCAATCCCAGCATTCTCATTATTTGATCAGTCTCATACAGCTGAATTTGCCTTAGGTAAACTTCAAGTGATTCAACAACAATTCAAAGTTTCAAATTACAGTGCTTTTTATAATTTTTTTGATCAACTTATTTCTGGAATACCTTCAAAAGAGTTCACTCTTCTTAAATGTTCCTTAATTTCAGGTAGTCTCCAATCAATCTCAGATTGCATTTGAATGAATGAGAATGGGTGAAGATGTGCATATTGTACAACTTCATTGCAATGAACTTCCAGGAACTTTAAAAAAATTCTGTAATGAATAGATTTTCAAAATTAAAGATTAGAAAATATTTTCACATCAGACCTGCCAGAAATAAATTATACCTTGCTTGTCAATCTCAGATTTTATATTATTGTTGTTTCCTCAAAAAACAGAGTGATACTTTGAGAAAAATTAACTTATGCTTTCCATCAGCTAAACACATCGCTTCATACTGGAAGGATATGATGTGAGGAAACATTAGGAAGCACCTTTGACATTGAATATTCAGTCAGGAAATTTCAAACTGAAGAATTTATTAAATATTACTCCTAGAGGACATTGAACACATTCTTACAATGAGAATTATATTCCTTTTTTTTTTGCAATGAGATTTTTGTATAATACCAAAAAGGGCAAATGTGACATGGGGAGGGTTAATTTGAGGAAGATAAAAGTTATTTGATAAAGTTTCCAAAAATCACACAACAAAAATGTACCCCAAAAAAAAATACTGCATTTATTTCCTCATTTTCTCTCTCCCATTTCAGGAAAATGGGCATTTTCCACTGCATAACGTATATACACTTCAAATAGCAGTTCAGGGAAAATGCAATTGGTCTTGTGTAAAAAGGTGAGAAGAATGTTTCCTTCTCCCAACATGTTGCTTCTGGTTACAAAACCAAAACCCCAACAATGATGCTGATCAAAAGCATAACAACAAAATAAAGGAAGGGTAAGAGAGCAGATTCTTCTTTCCTCTTGAAGAAAACCTTTGTCTGTCACTTGCTATGGACAAGAAGATCATGAAAATGATGATGATGATGATGAGAACCAAGGAGGAAGAAGAGGAAGAACATAAAACAGCAGCTGTGCTCCACTTTCACATCACCACAACGGGACATAAGAAAGGCGCCTTTCACTAGGTCCCTCAATGCATCCCAAGGACCGCCACCAAAGCGGTTGGTCGGTCCCATCAGCACATCAATTCAAATTCCACTGCATCATTCGCCATTAGTTCAATAAGGGGACAAACCCTGACTTCAGTCTTGTCAAAACAGCAAAGGCAATACATAAACTCCAACAGCTTCCCTCTCAGGAAATCAGCAGTTGCAAAGCATTTCTTTGACTTTAATTTCCCTTTTGTTCAGTTCCCTTTCAAGGTACACAGTTATCAATAAAGCTAAATTGTCTTTTCTCCAAACATGCTGAAACAAACAGCAAAGCTTCCTTTACAGAATTGGTATAAATTAAAAAAAGACAGCCAAATGTGACCTTGCCAAACTTGTCATTGATTTAAAAAAAAAACCCCCCATTGATTGGATATGCTTTCTTGTCTCTGATTCTTATCAAAGTTCTGACCCAATGGGGCACAAAAAACCATTGAAATTTGCAATGGTTTTTTATTTCTGTTCCATTTGGCAACATATGGTAGTTTTAGTTTTGTAATGAGTCTGTTTTTGAATTGGATTACTCCAATACATTTATTTCAAGGATTTAAAAAGCATTGAGTAAACTGGGATAAGCACACCATTTTTCAGACATGAAAAATGTTAAACTGCAATATATCACTGGGATAAATGAAACAATCATTTATGCCATTCTATCATAGTAAGGTGAGAAAAGCATTGAGAACTTTTAGAACAACTTTCAATTACAGTATAACTTGCCTTTTCCAATTGTTGGATTTATCAGTTCAGTATCATGTCACCAAAAGATAGTCTATACACGTGTCCTATGTCATGTGAATAATACTGCTCTCCATATTCGCAATATCTGCCTAGCAACTTGCTGCCCCTAAGCAGACAAGGACATCATGCAACCTAGATGCATTGTCTGGTTCCCAGTCATTTGCCCGGCCCCCTTTCTGTTGCCCTGTTTGGTTACGCAAGCGCGTCTGGTTTATGCTGAATCTATAAAAGTACCGCAAAGTGTATGTGTCAGCATTCATTGCTGGTTTGACTCTTGTTTGCTGAAGGCTCACAGAAATATACGTATTCACTTACCGAGAAGTCTAGTTCACTTTACCCCGTCCATAAAGACTAGAATTCTTCTCGATGAAAAGCTTATCCTAGAAGGCTGAGATTTTTAGATTGATCGTTTGAGAAAGAGAGATGTTTCTTTCTGAGCAAAAGTTTCTTTAATCAATTCTTTCACTGGTTTGGGATAACAATCATGTGTTATTAGAAGGATAAAATATGTATGCCTTACAATAATCATAGACTGACTATTTCTCAGGAAGGTGCAGTTTTCTGAATTTCTTGTCTTCAATTTTTTCTGCTGTATTTGATGCAGTAATGGGTTTTGCAATTACTCTGTTGTAAGTCATGCAAAAAGTGCACACAATACACTTGCAACATGAAAAATCATCAAGACATCAATTGAGTCAATATTTCATTGAGTCTTTATGCTGGTACTAATTCATGTGTTGGGGATTTAATCTTAACCATGAGGGTGCTTCTAAATTCATTCCCATTTCCAAAAATTGAAAAAAGCAGAAAATTGACATTATTTGACACATATTGGGATACTTGACTATAATTGATAAGTTTGCCATGACATCTTAACCACATCCATGTTTCCCACAGTAACTATAATCATTTTTTTGTTTCTTCAGGAGTGGGATCATCGTTTAACAAGTTTGTTATCCAAAGCACGCTTTGGTCTGCCAAATTTTACAATATCAATATTTTCAACTTTTTGCCTGTAAATCATCAATACTATGTGTATCAATACTTGAATACTTTACCATTGTATCATATTAGTAAATTAGGCCTGACAACTTATTTGATGAGATTTCTATTCCTTATTGCCAGGATTTGTCAAGTGAATACTGTACTCTTCTACAGATTTCTAATAAAACAATGTGTTTTTTTGTATTTGACAAAGATAAAATAGCAGTATACTTTGACTTCAGTTGATGAACAAGCAGAGAGTGCACAAATAGCAAAATGCAGATAGCTTTATGGACTTTGAGGTCCAAAATTACACAATACTGGTCAAATCCAGATCCGACCTCATTCTGGGAAGAGTTGTGTAGCTTGGCAGAATTTGACTTGGCACAGCACATCAATGGGGACAAGAAACAAAAAAAAGGCACAACTGCTTTGAGCATTGTCTGCTACCAAGAAGAAATGACAGAATAATTTTGATGGACACATGTGAAAAAGCCAGAATAGAGGAAGAAACTGAATATATAAAGGTTCAACTTGAAACAATGTTCTAGTCAATAATTATGAAAAATCTCATCTTAAAAATTTATTTGTTAAAAAAAAACTTTTTCTGCAGTCCCCACAAGTTTGTTGTAAATTTGAAATACCAACATTTTTCCTGTACGTGTATACTGTACATTGCATCAGAAACAGACAAAAGAAAAATGAAATAAATAAGAAGCAGAAGAGTGAAGCAGATCTACACAGTTGGTGTCAGCTCTTCTTTTCAGGGCTACAGGTTATGAGTGATTGAGTCTCCCCTCTACTACATGGATTCTTCCATTTATTGGAATGAGGACACATTCCTTCATTTTTATTTGGGATCATCATCATCATCATCATCATCACCTACTTCTTCTCTTCTGGTGCTGATGCTGCTGACATTTATCATGTCCAAGCTTATAATGTGTCATTGGGAATCACTTTATTTTCTTCCAGTACCATGAGCAGAAGGTTTAAATTCCATTTATTTATTTTTCTTCAAGATACTGTACTTGATCTTTAGTTGACCTTACATTGAAAATCACAAAAAAGGGTTTCCTGGGCTACGGGAATGGAAGACATTCTGGAGTGGCAATTGTATATAAAATTGACCTGCGGGAATTTGCCATCAATTCAAAATTTGTTGACCATAACTTGTGAGGTAATGATGCAACCCTTTTTGAGTATACAGTAATTGTGGAGACAATTTAAGATAGTTGGACAACTTGAAAAAGATGATAGCACCATCTACGAGCACTTGTAGAAACAAAATTCCATACAAAATGACTTTCATGGATTATGATCATGTAGCGAAGTTCAGATTCATCTGCAAAAATATTTGCATTACAGAGCAACTTCTATTGTATAAGGCGCATAAATAACGAAGCTGATCACCTCCAATTCGCTTCTTTTTTTTCCCGGAACGAAAACTCCCAATTCAAGTTGAAAATTCCGTCAGTAACGACGAGAGCCGAACTCACTGTCCCGGCAAATATTGTACACCAATCGCAAATCCCACGGCGACAATGACATGTGATGCGAGTTCAGGTCGAGAGAAGCACTTTCTCGGAAATGAAGAACAAGCTCAGCAGGTTGAGCACTCACCAGACGGGATGAATATGTGTCCATTGCGAGGTAATCGTCGTCAAGCAGGTCCTCGTTACTCGTGTCACTGCCCTGGGAATCCCGACAGGACACGAATTCCTGACTTCCGCTGCTGGTGACGGTGTCGTCTAAACTTTCCCGACGCGCTTTCAAATGATTCCGCCGATGAGGACTCGACAAAATTCCACAGGGAGGGCCTCCTCACAAATTACCTCACGCAGATAATCATTCTCGTTTTCTCATCTTGACGTCTCCTCCATTCAAACTCACGAAGAAACACAGAGCGGGGGAAACTAACTAATTCACCGGGGGAAATAATTTAGACGCTGCGATTTCTTCCACAGTTTTGGCGCTAAAAAAAATCTATCATTGGTATCAATAAAGCATAAGCATTTCAGGAAGATCAACTAATCATCGACAAAATGAATCAGCGGAAAAGCAAAGATTCTCAAGGATTCAGCGTTCACCAAAAATATTCCAATGAATGAGTAGGAGATATATCACCACTGTTCGCTTCCTTCATGCCAGCAAAGATCCTTGAAATCGGGCGACTGAGTTTATGCAGTACTCTCATAGTCCAACTCACATGCAGAGCCTACTGTACTCTCAAAAGGTTAAGGAACCGGCTTCCCGGAACAAAATTACAAGATGAATCCTCACAATTGGGAAGAAGTTAAGATCACGAAAGATACAAGAAAAAACCGATCCTGAAAAATAAGGGACCAAGAGATTTTCTTTAAAGGATTTGAAAAGAAAATACTATAGGCGCCAGAATGGATTCTTTGGTTTTCAATGATTGCTCCTCATATTTTCCGTGTTATATTGCCGTAAATCATCTTCTCACAATATTCTTATATAATACACCCTGCGATCAAGAAAGTGTATCACTCCATAGCGTTATCTTCTACGATACGATAAATAGCTCTTGTGCTCTTTATTCGCAGAACTGACACGGTGGCAAAAACAATTAGCTATGAAGTAAGGTGAAATGGCCCTCGTTCATCTTAGATTTCAACACCGTCAGTTTTCCTGACATAGATTCATGATCATCTAACAATTTAAATCTAGTGCTCAGCACTCGCCTATTCGCTGCAGGCAAAGGAAGCCTTTGAAAGGATATCGCAACGAAAGTTCGCTTCACGCGATACAAACTCTGTAGTTCTAAATGATGAAGGCCATGAGGCGGATGCTTACAATTCCGAGCAAAGCACATTTCAGATTTAACCAAAACTGTGCACGCATTACAAACGCACACCACGTTCTTAAGACATTATCAAGCGTAAGGATGAAACCCGTATTTTGCGTAAACCACCCACATTCATAAATAAACGGAAAAGAGTCTGCAATTTAAATTTTCCGACGGTCATAAATTCCACATTTTGCTAAATGATTCCATGTGATACATTTTAATCAACAAAACACTACGGATTCGCCGGAAGCGTGCTGGAGGTGCCCAGACGTTATAGTGCCCTTTCCAACTCAACGCCACTCACTTCCATGCTGCACCCCAAGAGGGCTGTTCCCTTCCACTCTTGTCATGAAAGCCACTGCAGTTGGCTCATGGTCATGGCCCATGGGAGAGACTTTTGCTTGGAGGGGTGGCGTGGAAGAGATAGCCCTGAATGGAGTAGGGTTGAAAGGAAGTTGTACCATAACGTCGCGTCAGGGAGTCAATTGGTGGGCAATACAGAGATCAGATTTTAGGATTGATTACGTGATGTGAAGGCTTCTTAGTGACATGCGGATAGAAATAGCCTCTCGAACATCCGCTAATTCATCGCTATTTCATTATCACCGCATCTGCTGTACCAATGAAAAGCGGGACTTCAAAAAAAATAGAGATTAGGCATATTCTGTTGATGAGATGAGCGGGATGTAGGATCACGCTTATCGATATTCCTAGGATTTAATTTTTTTTTTCAGTTTCCTGATTACTTTGCATGATCTCCATTTTCATAATCGAGAAAGCGCAAGAGTTTGACAAATATCTCAGATGATCGACACCCATGGACGAGCAGCTTCGTGGACCGCATGGGGAAGAATCCGGTGTAGCAGCCGGGGAAGAATTTTTTATTTTTTGCGTCACTTTTCTGGTTGTCTATAGTGCCTTTTGGAGTGCAAGAATTAGTGAGACTCTTCTGGTGTGTGTTATCTTCGTTTGATGGTAAAAAATCATTTGGGAAATGTATGTGGAGCTCGTGCTTTTTAGCGAGGAACGACAGTTGATGGGAAGGAGGCTTTTTATTGTGAGAAACGATACCCTGTTCTTGACATTTTATTTGGAGCGTCACGCTCAATCTTGCATTTTTTTTAACCAACTGTTGACATTCCTGTCATGAAGAACACTATATTACAATGTTGTTGACCAGTTCGTTCCTTCTGTGACAGGTTTTCGTGACATACTGTGTTCATTCCGTGGTGTATCCGTTGCTCTCCTGACCCGTCTATTGCAATTTTACTAAAGATGGGTGTTGCCGCCAGTCGGAAATCCATTGATATTTCGTCGAAAGTCGCAAAGGATGCTTCAGATGAACCTGTTGCAGTAGTTCCTGAAGATGCGAAAGTTTCGGTTTCTGATTCCCTGGAAAGAAACGCTGACGGTGCAACTGTTAACCCTGAGCGAAAAGAAACTCCGAACACTGACGAGTCTGCTGAAGCATCAAACAATGAAAGAACGGAGGTATATTTGGGTTTGTGATCCTTTTTAAATGGTTCACTTAACATGTACTCTTTTCTGTATAGGACGAGACAAATCCTGTGAACTCGGTGGAAAACAAATCTGGCACTAAAGAAAATGGAGAGGAATCCAAGGGCAAAAAAGGAAAGAAGAAATTGTCCTTCCGAAGCCTGAGTTTCTTGAAGAATAAGCAAAAGAAGCACCAAAATGACGAAGCAACTCCTGAAGATTCAAACGAGAATGTGGTGTGTTTTCCGTTATTTGTTGCAGGAGTGATTAAATTGATTCTGTCATACTCTTCTTTCTCAGGATATCTCCGCTGAACAAGTTACTGGAACAAATAAATCTGAAGAAGACAATGAGCAGAAAAGCACCCAAAAATCCGAGGTGAATGCAAACAGTGATGCAGAAGTGAAAGCTGTTGCTTTCGAGAAGGTTCCTGAGGATTCTGAGAACAGAACGGCTATTCCAGTGAGTATTACCAATATGAAGAATGCATTTCTTCGGGTATTAATGTTCCAGTTTTATCGAAGGATGAAACTGAAGAAGCTGTTCTTGGCGAGGAAGACAGAGATATTGGAATTAACTCTGCAGTTCCTCCTACTGATCCACCGCCTCCACCACCGCCTTTGTCTGATCATGAAGATGCTTGAATGAGGGAAAGGGAATATTTGACTTCGCCGAAGGTTTTCTTTGTTAATCCTGCTCAAGATGCAATATTCAGTTCTTTGTTCGGTACATTCATTCGTAGACATGCAGGATGTAATTGTTCATATGTGTAGCTGATGCGAGAGACATTTTTGAGCAAAAGTTTTCTTAGTTTTTCTCGCGAAAACCTTCGAGTCGCACCGAGAAACTATGTTTATGATGTTCATATCTGGCATTACGATATTTTTTACCCGAAGGCACTTGGTGTTCTGCTCTGGAATCCTGAGAAAGGACCTTGCTCATCTCCCGGTGATTGAAAGTGTTTGAGTATCTTGTTATCATCTGACGAAGCTTTGTTTAGTGCATACGCTGTGCCTTTCTATGTTTTTCTACATTTTTTGCCATTTTTTCATGTGTATTATTGATACTATGACTTTTTTCGAAGACGGATTTCTTTTCGACATCGTTCAACCTCTTGTAATTAGTTCGGCAGCAATTTTGTGGAAATTTTGGAGCCGTGTGTAAAAAAAAAAAAAAAAAGTTCGTGTGTGATGCATTTTGTGTTCTGTTTGTCATCTTGCGGTTAAATTCAGCCCCAGTGTTCATTTCTCGACAGGAAACACACTAAAATGCATGTTTATGAATGAAGTTGGCCCCAAGTGCGCCTTTCCCGTCATCCTGACGCGCTGACAATTTCTGAACTGATAGAAGTGGGTGAGTTTTAAATATTTTTCCGTGAAATCTGTGTGATGAAGATCTTTCTTCTTGTCTTGAATGAAGTTGGTTCTTTCGCATTCCAACGATGACTACTGCCTTGAATACAAGCATTCCTTCCATTTTACGTTTGGTTCATCGCTCAATTGCTGCTGCTCACCAAGCAGGACTCGAAATTCGGAAACTTCTCGAGTCAGGAGATGTTGAAGCGCTTTCAAAGGTGTGTTCCTCCCTTGAAAAGAAATTTTCTTGGGGATTTGAGTGAAAGTTGTGTTCTGGTTTCAGCCAGGTCACGATGGAGAGTTGGACGTGTACACGGCAGCAGATTTGTCATCGCAGTGCATCATTGAGAGCTCGATTCGTGATATTTTTCCTGTAATTAGGATTATCGGTGAAGAGGATGATCGAGTGCGTGATTGGGTGCAACGGTTTGAATTGAAACCCGTGTTGGAAACTGTCTTGGACCCTTTTGGGGGGAAAGAGTGTCCGGATGCTTTGAAGAGCGTGAATCTGGAAGATGTTATCATTTGGTTGGATCCCATGGATGGAACCTCTGAATTCATGGCTGGTGAGTCTGCCCAACTGTATTTACTAGAGTAGAGTGTGTGTGTCCTTGAGTAAGATTTGCACCTGATTTTCTCATCCAATCTTTTGGTAAGATGCTCACTCCATTTTTCAGTGACAGAACGGTTGCAACATTTCAGGAGTTCAGCGCATTAAAGTTCAAATTTAGATGTGTATTGGACCCATATGGAGTTAATTTCCAAGTTCAGTTCGTAAAAAATTGTTTAAAAAAATTTCCTGTTGAAATCTTGTATGAATTGCCTCTAAACCTATGATAATTGGCTGTAAATTTTCCCAGTTTTTTTTTATCCATGCATTCCCCCTCATAATTTTTAGATATTGGCAAGAAACCAGTAAATATCATTCATTAGTTCAGTATTCTCTCAATACTATGATTTTCCATTTTTTGAGACCAAAATTCCATTTCCTTGGAGGGAGTTGTCATGGCAGTTATACACAACTGCCAGATAATGGCCTTATTGGGAGTTATTTGCCAGTTTCCCTAACTAGTCGATATCTTCCCCAATGAATTACCTGAAGCCAATGCCCTGTATCTGATCTCTTGGTGATCCACAGTAGGTATGTCAAATTGTACCCATTTTTATTCTTGACTTCCCCAATGATGCGAAAAATGTAAGCATTGATCCGTTTTTTGGCCCTTTTATTTTTAGGTTTGGTGGAACACGTCACTATTCTGATTGGCGTTGCACTGATGGGGAAACCCGTGGCTGGGATCGTTCATCAACCCTTTTGGAAAAGTTTAAAAAACGACGAAGAGCTCGTGGGTCGCACAGTGTGGGCGATTCGTGGAATGGGCATTGGGGAAACCGTGGGTACTCTTGGAACCCCAACTGTCTTGACTTGCCATCCCTTCCAAGCCATTCAAAGAGCCTCGAGTTCAAAAACGATTGTGGTGACATCTAGATCTCATCAATCGCCTCACGTGGTCAAGGCTATTGAAAGCATTGCACCAGATGAGGTCATTTATGCTGGTGGCTGTGGAAATAAGGTTTGTTTGTTTGTTTGAAAGGGGCATTTTTTTCAAGTGTCCCTGATGTCAGAATGATTTATTTCAGAATATTTTGATGGTCTGCAAGAAATTTTCTTGAGCGTGATAACAGATTCATCAATAGTAGTAATGAATCTTCATCTGAAATTTTGGGAAGGTAATGGCGTTTGAAATTACCTGATGAAAAATAAAAGTTGGCTTTTTCCACTCAAGGAAACTTCAGACACATGTTCACCTGATGAAAAACAACTTATTTCAATTTGTAATTCAGAGAAACATTTCTTCAAGCCCACCATTCTACTTTTTAAAAGAACTTCGAAACTTGATTTTTGAAAAATTGAATTTTTGAATTGAGTCTTTGAAGAAAAAATTCTTGGAGTTTGCACAAATTCCTGTGAAAAATGTGCTGGTCTGTGGGCCCAAAAAGCTTGGGATCACTGATCTAGAGTGAAGTATGTGGCATGCCAATTTTTCTTCTGCAGGTGCTCATGCTTCTGGAAGGAAAAGCCAATTACTACGTGTATCCCAGCTCTGGCTGCAAAAAGTGGGACACTTGTGGACCGGAAGTCCTACTGAATGAAGCTGGAGGGTTGTTGACAGACGTGTTTGGCAGTCGATACGATTATTCACCTGATGTGGAACACTTGAATCGCTTGGGTGTGATTGCCAGTGTGTGTCCTAATGAACAGAAAATGATATTGGGTAGAATTCCCGAAGATGTGAAAATCAAGTTGAAAGGGTGACAATTTGACCTGCTGGTCATTTTAAGGAGGATTGTCGTCAACTGTTGAAAAGGGCTATTTTTTTTTCGTGCAAGCATGATTTTTGTTTTGTTTTGGTTGAATAAAAGCAGAATGAAGCTTCTGCAGTATTTCTTCCCAGATTTGATGGGTGTTCAGTATTCTGTGGATGAATTGACAAGTCAGGTGCTCTCATGGTGGTTGGTGGAGAGTGCCGTTTTTTAAATCTTATTGTACAATATTGATCTCAATAAGATGTTCACCTTTTTTACATGTTAACTTCATTTTGAATTCTTCTTAATTAATAATGCAAGAGAAGTATCAGAATACATCACTTGAGTTTTATAGCAAGTCATGCAAGTGATCATGCGTGAATGGTGTTTTATGCAGCATTAGTGTAACATATATTCTGCAGTGAGGTACTCTACATTCCTCTTGTTTTCCTCGTTGAACCTTCTTTCGCGATCACAACGTGTCAACTCACCTTTGGTTAGTTGCAATTCCAGTGTCTTTTCTCACGTAGTACCGAAAGCCTTGGAAAAATTGAATAAACTTGTAGGACGGATTGCGTGTCCATCTTGGAGTCGCTACTTGCGAAGGCCAAGAGGATCGCTGAAGAGGCCGAACAGAAAGTACGAAGAGGTCAGATCGGTTTTTTTTGGCAGAGTTCAGATTGTTCCGACGTTTTCCGTAGAAATTGGTGTACAGACCTAAGAGTGAAATAATGTGACGGATCTTGAGTAAGAATGGAAGTGATTCAACCCAGAGGTGATCGTTCGTATGATGGGTGTTGAAATTGACCGATTTCGTTGATGACCTTGCGGGACAGTCACAATGATTCAATCAATTTCGTCGAGGAATTGAATGAAAGTGTGGATCAGCTCGTTGGATTTTTCGCGGCCGTATCGTATCGTTATTTTTATTCATGCCGTTGATCAGCACTGAATACTTGTTGCAATTTGATTTGCATGCTTTTTGGATATACACGTCTGTCTCAACCTGGCTGAAGAAGAACTAACCTTCAGCAGGTGCCCCGCCGAAGTTGGTCATTTTAGAAATGAACTCGGACAGTGATGAACGAGGAGCTCAGCAAGGAGGAACGTTATTTTTAAACCTTTTTGAAGATGAGAAAGGAAGTCCTCTGTTTCCGAGCAGTTGGAGAAATCGGAGTGACGCTTTGAATTGCTCCTCCTCACGAAAGTTTTCTTCAAGTTATTTTTGGGAATTTGATGATTGGCATTCCTGTGTCGGGGCATTTGAACGATTTGGAAGTGAATACGTCGTCTTTTTGTGATTCCTACATGGAATGGATGGATCCCTGGAAGGGCGTGATTTTGATTTCCTTGAGCTGATTGCTGTTTCTCTTTACGAGTGTTCAACTCATGTACTCGAACCTTATATGAAAGCATTTCTGTACTGGATGCGGGCTGAGGTGAAATGTTACTAAATCTAGTGGGAGGGTGAAACTAGGAATTTAAAACCCCGGTTATCCCCCGAAGGCCATCAAGTATAGGGAGGAATTCTCAGTGGAATTTTGTTCTTATTCATTTCTCCCTTCGGACCTACTGATGCAAACAGCACCATTTTGCGAAACCAGTTATTCCGGGGGGCGGGAGCAATTGGGTGCTTAAATTATCTTTGGGAGTCGACCCCTGAATTTGACTCTTCTCTTCCCCTATCCAGTTTGTTTCAATTTTCCTAGTGGAGTTAGTGTTTCTCAACTGGATTTGAAAGGGGAACGAGTGGAATGGCTCCTATATTTATGTATGTTGGATGATGAGAGCCTTCTTAAAGTGTCGAAACCATTTTCGTTTCAATCCAAGAAAATTGTCTGTGAATGATGGGTTTTTTGCTCCTATGTTTTGAGGTTCTATATGGAGGATTTTGTGGATTCCTTGAATTCCATATAAAGACATAGGAGAGAGAGAGAGTGTGCGTGTCCATCCGTATAGTTTTTCAAGACCCTGTGTGTATGTCAAGTAATCTTCTGTGCCATTGTGGAACCATGTGAGTGCTGCAAGGTGACCTAGTCAAGAATTGCATTGCAGTGTGAAATGTTGTTGGAACTGATTTGTCATTTCAACTGATGACTTGGCATATTAGGTTTTCTTCATGTGAGCAAAGCTGGTTATCTTTCTATAGTAAAACTTTCCCTGACTCATAGTCTTTACTTTAGACACACACAGAGAGGTCAAGGTAGACATATTTCAACTGATGACTTGGCATATTAGGTTTTCTTCATGTGAGCAAAGCTGGTTATCTTTCTATAGTAAAACTTTCCCTGACTCATAGTCTTTACTTTAGACACACACAGAGAGGTCAAGGTAGACACTCTGCAATAAGTCCACACACCGAGTATCAGGGCTGGCCAAAAGCGGGTGCAGCAGGTTCACTGCACACAGGTGCCTTGCTATAGGGGTGCGCAAAAACCAGGGCTGACCCTGGCAGTGGCAAGAAGGGTTTGTGCGCCTGTATGGTGAGGCGCCATGCAGGTGCCCCATCATTCAGGCAAAATATTTTACTTGCAGAAATCAGGCAACAGATGAAAATCAGCAGTAAGACAGGAAGTCTAATAAGTGATTCAAAATCCTGAATTTTCCCTTCTATTTCAACTGATGACTTGGCATATTAGGTTTTCTTCATGTGAGCAAAGCTGGTTATCTTTCTATAGTAAAACTTTCCCTGACTCATAGTCTTTACTTTAGACACACACAGAGAGGTCAAGGTAGACAATCTGCAATAAGTCCACACACCGAGTATCAGGGCTGGCCTAAGGCGGGTGCAGCAGGTCCACTCAGGGCCGGCGCTGGGGTGGGTGGCGCCTTTGTGCAAGAAAAAATTTGGCGCGCTTTGAAAAGAGCAAAGTCTTAAAAAATGTTAAAAAAGAATGAAATTTTTATTTATTTATAAGTTCAATTTTGCACTTGAATATCATCATGTTGAAAAAGATTGATAGAAATGATTGTAAAATTTAAAATGATTCAATGTTCCACTACTAAAACACACTGTATAACATGCACATAAGCAAGGCAAAAATTGATTAAAATGTACTGAGATCACAGGCAACAAGGAGAAAAAGCTGCTGGAAACCAGAAACATTTCCATAATAAAAAATAGAATAGAAATTGTTCCAACAGAATGTTTTTGCTTTTATATAAGTTTGTTGCAACAAAATCTGCATTGTTTAAATTGTGTTTGGCTATTGGTCATTTCACTAATGCGTTTCCAGTGAAACATCTGACAATTTTGTTTTCAACTTTCAGTCCAAGTTCTTTTATACTGTATTCATATAATCATTATTCTGAGGACCAATTCACTTTCTAAAAAAAAAAAGGATTTTTGGTTTGAAAAAAAGTGCAGATCGTGACTGCTAGAAATTAATTTTGTTTAGTGTCATTTTCAACCAGAATAGTGTTTGTGCACTTATTGCTCCACTTTTTTATTTGGTAATGAGTATAAGCTACTATTTATAGTGAACTAGACCAGTGTCATGGTGGAAATTTGACTTGAAATTCATTATGATTACAATGAAGCCACTGGTGCCAGTAAAATGGCTTTGTTGTTAGAATTTCTTTTCATAAAGCAACTCATTTAATGTTGGGGCTATTGGCCAGTGCACAAAAAACTTCATTGTGAGCAATTTTTTTAAACAAGCTATTTGTTGCAACAAGATTCAACTGCATAAGAAAACATGGCCTTGTGTCTGTTTTCAGTCAAGATATTTATGCATGAGATTTTCTGACTCATCTTGTTCCAACTGAGTGATTTGAATATGACATCTGATATAGGAGTAAAGTGATATATAATTGCAGATAGCAGTATACCTTGGTTTGTTTCTTGTTATTTCTGCTCTGCTTGTAAGCATTAAGGTATTAGCAGTTTGGCACAGCTGGTGAATGAAACTGAGAGAAAACAAGTTTCACCGTTATTTTAAGTGACACCTGAGGATCATGAAAAAGATTCTGAGATTGAGAAGCATTAATTTCTTCACAAACAAGGGATCAGAAGATTACATTTTGAGATTTTTATGTATCCTTACTAAATCCAAAAATAGAACACTGCTTTCATTGAAAATCTATTGCACTGCAAAAATTATTTCAAGCCAGTGATCATTATGGTGAGACCAAATATTTTGTGCTATTATTACTTGTGAAAAATCAATGATAATTGCATAAAATTTATTAAAAATGTAATCCACATGCATATGAAACTTGAGAAGCATGGATTAGACATAATCCAACCTGATTTAGTGGATAAATTGATACAATGATCATCCCCTCTTGCAATGTGTGCACCAGGATTTTGGAAAGAAAATTGTGCACAAATGTACCCCTGAGAAAGAAACCCATGAAGATTTAAGTCCCCTGTACCTTTGCATGCCTTTGAAAATAGTTACCATTCCTAGTATAGAATAGAGCATTCATACCATAATATTGGGATCCATTATACAACAGCTGTCCATTTTAATTTTAGCTGATGAAAATTTGAACTTCACATTGTTTTCAATGGAGTGTGCTGAGATTTTTTATTTCACAGAGGTGAGAAGGCATATAGCATTCATGAAATGAATGATCTGAGTCCAAATTACTATTGGGCTAATTTGAGCAGTGCAGCATTTGTGCAAACAGTTGTCAAAATTAATCGTCTCTGCATCATGAAAACTTATTAAATTTTCAGGTAATTTTTAGGCATTCACAGAATTTTAGCTACATGCTGGATACAAAGGAAAGGGGAAGAAATCATTATAAATTGTTTGTAATTTATGACTAATTCAAAATTCATGCATTTGAAATCTTGATTGTATTGTTTGAATCATGTCAAAAATTTTCCAATCATATTTTTCATGTATGACTTGCAGAAGAAATATTTTCTGAAGGTTTAAACCCGATTACAATGAGCACCCTATTTTTATATTCATTTCTGGTTTCTGAAAAAATGGTTTCCATGGTAATCAACTAAACGTTGGTCTGGGTCACTCCACCAGGTGAAGCATTTGAAATTTGTTGATATTTCAAAATGAATTACTTCTACCACTGATTTGCCTGCGTTTTTAATGAGAACATTTGAAAAAAAGTAGGGCCATTCTTTGCTTTGCACAACCATCGAATGGCCTGCTGATTTTTGTTTTTAAAAAGGTACTAAG